TTCAGTAATTTACTAAATATGCAACCAAAAAATATAACACTAAAAGGATGTAGATAAAAGATGCATGAACAAATAACTTACTCGAGGGAAATCTGCTATCAGAGTAACAGAAACCCAACCTTGTTCATCCATTTTAGACCTTAAAAACTCATCTCTCACTAAATTAGCATCGCTGCAAAAAGAAAATAAAAAAAATAAAAAAATAAAAAAAGAAATTAATTAGCAAAGATTATCAATAATCTAAATAATAAACAATAGAACAAACTTACCTAAAATAATATTCAATTTGGTGAACTATCATTTTGGAAAGAGGAGATTCTGCAGCAGAGAAGAACGTTGTAGGAGGAGGGCTGGGCATAAAGTAAGGCACTCCCGTAAACTGTTCCATTGTTACAGGTTGATAGTAATAGAACTCTAAAACGAAAAAAAAAAAATATTAGTTTGTTTGTTTTTATATACAAAGACAACAGAGGAAAGAAGAAATAAACAAACCAGAAAAAACCATGGGGTTAGCAAATGGTCCAATGGGCTGAGGACCCACAAAAGCAGCAGTGCTAGGAGATGGGTGCCTCAGTAATCCTCTAGGAGGCATCCTTGGTTGAGGTACAAAAACATCTCTAGTATTCCCATAACTTCGCCGACCTTGATCATGCCTGCTACCATAACTATTACGATAGGAACCATCTCCTCTTGGATGAGGCCCAAAATAACCCCTATGAGAGGAACCACGGTATTCATTCATCCCAGGCACAAAACCCCCCACCATTGGTCTTGCATCCCAGTTACTGTTCCAGTAATGATCTCTTGGAGCAGACTCAGGTATCACCGGCACCATACCATAGCTAACTGATGGGAGATATACAGGAAAAGGTGGTGGTGCCGGTGGTGATGGAGGAGGATTGGAGAAGCTGCTCTGGGAAGGACCAGACACAATGCCGCTACCACCTACCCGCTTCATCGGCCTTTGTCTACCAGGCACATTATAATTTGTTCCAGAATTGGGTTTTGAATTAGTAATAGTAGCTTGTTTCTGAGGAGACTGTGAAGTCATTGGCCCCTACAACAGAACAAGAAGGTCATGCCAACAGATAATACCCAGTACCCACCATTTACCATTATTAATATAGATTTAAAATCATTCCTTACCAAGATATACATACTCTCTTTGATAAATACAAAATAATATATAGGGTTATGTTTCAGACTAATGCAAATCGGAAGCATTATACATAAACAGAATTTTAAACTTGGGGAATATTCTTGCTATATTTTCATAATTTTCATATAAAAAAACTAAACAGGAAATTCATAACGCAAGGGAAAAAAACAGACCAAGCAGAGTGTATTTGAACCAAACCTGAGAAGTGGAGAGTGATCCATCAGCAACAGTCTTGGAGGACGATTCAGCTGGTAATTTAGCAGAACCTTTGGCGGATGCAGACAGAGCGGGCCACGATTCAGCGCCCATTACAGGCCCAGTCTCCGAGGCTACACCGTTTGAGGGCTTATTCCAAACGGGTTTCTTAGAATGATCCGCATTGTCCTCAACGGCATTAAAACTATCTGCAAAACCAACCATGTTAGAATTATCCACGGGCGACGACACCAGAATCACCTTGGGAGAACACTCCGAGGACGGGGCCTGGTCAGTAATCAGTGAAGACGACGAGGATGACGTTGATGGAGGCGATTGGTGAATGCCAGCCACCGATTCAGGCTCGCCGCCGCGAACCACTTGAGCCCACGGCGAGGAAAGGTTTTTTCGCGGGAACTTAGGACTGTTGCCGTCGCCAGACTGCACCTGTGAAGGAGCACTAGACGACGAATGATGAATCGAAGATTTGGCAGTGGTAACCATTGTTGATTAGGGTTTCTAGTTTTTTATTTGTTTTTGTATTTTAAGGGTGGAAAAGCGATTGATCAGTGACGAAGAACCAAAATCATCAAACAAATAAATAAATATGAAGAATATTATAACCAAGAAAACAGTAAATGGAAAATAAACAACAAGAGAGTCAGGGTTGTCTCGAAAGAATGAGATGGAAAACGGATCTTAGGTGGGGGAAGAACCCAAACTGCGATCTCTCCCTCCCTTTCTGTTTCTTACTGTTCTCTCTCCTTTTTATTTCTCAATTCAACTAACCTGTTTTGTGTTTCTTACTTCCAATCTTTTATATTGACAGATTCGGTTAAGATTTTTAAATTTTTATCTTTTGCATTGATAATTAAGTTAATATTTTTAATTATCATGTTCAGATACTGTAATATTTCAAGAATTAAGATTTGTTAATAAAATATTTTATATATTACTATAAAATAATATTTTTAAAAGTTTTTCTATCTTTAATTCTAACAAATTCGTATTTTATTTTATTTTCAATCTAATTTTACAAGTTTTACTAAAATTATATCCTTTTTATTTTTATTTTGTATAAAAATAGCCATTATAAAGTTAGAAACTAAAAATATAATGAATATTTATAAATATATAAATTGTATTATGATTAAAATTTATGTAAATAGATATATTAGTAAAAAAATGTGTATATTTTTAGAAATAATTTATAGTATGATACTATATTATTTTTTGTTATTGATAATTTCTTTCTTTAAGATATTAAAATTTAATTTAGAATTTAAAATATTAAAAATGATAGAGTGAAAACAATAAGAATTAAGAAAAAAAAATCCCAAAACGTTATCGTTGAAATATATATAAAGAGATATGATGAACTATTTTTTAAAAAATTAGCATTATCTTGGAAACAAGTTAAACTGATAGAGAATCAAATATTCTTATTTATATTTTTTTTATATTTGTCTGTTAAAATGTAATATCTTAAAAAATAAAAAAGAGTGAATATGGAGAAAACAATGTTATTTTATTATAAAAAAAATGATAAAGAAGTAGAGATAGATATATAAAATCTTCCAACTTACATAATAAAAAAACAATATTATATTTTTCAGGGAATAAAAGTATATTGTTACTATGGTAATTTTTAATAAAGAAACAATCTTATTATGTAAACTTTTTAAATCAATAATTAAAAATTATTCTAGGGAAAATATAATAGTGAATGGTTATTTTCCTATATTAAAAATTAAGGGAGATAAAAAATAAACAAAGATTATGTTCTATGTAGAATTGTTGTTAGGTGTTTTTAACACTTTTGCACGTGTCACCTAGAGTAGTTTGGTGGTTTGAAAAACTTCCGTTCAACTTATGTACTTAGAAAAAATAGTAGGAATTAATTAAATTTGGAAAATTTATTAACAATGCATAAGTAGTGTTCTAAAAAATTGTTTTTGTCGTATTTTAAAATATGTTTGAAGTGGTTTAATTGAATAACTAATTGAAGGAGTTGATTATATAATTTCCTATATTAATTTGTTAGGTTTGTGTGATTGGAATTCCTTAGACAAAGATTTATTCATTAATATTTTTCGTTTCACACTTAGTCAATGATATCAAAACTTGATTTGATTAATAATTCAAGTGTTTTATATTCATCCATTCCAATAATAAAAACTATAAATTTATTTTCCATTTTTTTATATATAATAATATAGTTAAATTAAAAAATATAAAAAATAAATAATGATTCATATCGATATTATTTAATAATAAAATCATAAAAAATAAAAAATTTTAAAATAGATAATAACTCAAATATAAAATTAATCCTAATTATATTATTATAATGAATATAAGATTAAGACATTTTTTAAGTGAAATATATTCTTAAAATAAAATATCCTATCTGTTATATATTTTGTAATGCATAAATTTTATTAGTGAAATTCAAATGAGAAAATTATTTATATTAATGTATACTTTTGATTTTCAATTGGTGGGATTGACCCTGTTGAATTTTTCAAACGCAGAAAACCATGATCAAAACATTTTCGAAGAATCTTCTTTTTTTTTTTTTTTTTTTTTTTGGGATGCGTATGCCATTTTCTTGTTTATATATACTCTAATGTTCTATTTTGTTGTTCTAATACTATATGTTAAATAGAACTATCACCACCTACCATAAATTTGTCACGATAAGTGGTGAAGGACCCAACTTTTCAAAGAAATTTATATTTTTCAGCAAAGTTAAAATCTTTATTTAAATTTTAACATTTTAATTTGATTTTATAAAAAATATTTTCTAAATTATTATTATTATTAAATATTTTTAATGACAATTACTCTATCCAAGAATTAAATTATCTCGGTGTCATATATATTATTATAATCTTTATTATGACTGTTTTATTTTAAAAAAATTAAATTATTTTATATCAGGCTTATCTACTGTGATTTTGTCTTCCTCCCACCATTAAACAACTTCTTGGCTCTTTCTGTTAACCACCCATTTACTAAGAAAGAACACTCTAAAAGTCAACCTCTTTAGGTCTTTTATGATAGAAATAGATATAATACTAAAATTTTGCGGACAATAATCAATGGTGTAAATTTACCAGGAAACCTTCCTAGATTTTCCATGAAAGTGGTTTCTTTAGAATAAAAATAGACGTTTATTATTTTAACTATGGGATAATTATTATTATTATTATCATTATTATTATTACTTTAATATATTTTTTAATCATATAGTACTTTTTTGTTTCCATTTTAAATAGTAGAAAGGGTTGGGTAGTTTAATCCATTTTAAGTAGTAGTATCTATTAAATAAACTATAGTTGATTTTTATACATGATTAAAATGAGGGATTTTTTAAAAGTAATTAATCTATTTAAAAAATAATGAATAAAATTGATAAAAAAAAAATCAATATTAGTAAAGAGCAAGTGGAGCATGCAATAAAGTACCAAAGGCCAAATAAGTTGGCTGAGATTTAATTGGTATAATTTATAATAATGTTTGTTTACATTTTACTCTATAAAATGGGAGGTTCAGTGCCATTGAGTTCATCACTCTCTCTTATCTGCCATTACAGAGTTCAGTGCTTCTCTCTCTTCTCTTTGCCCATCCCTCACTCTGTCTAATGGCTGCAACAACACCGAATCACTCACTAACCGTATCTGGGTGGGCAGCTCATGATTCTTCGGGCAAGATTAGCAGCTATACCTTCAAAAGAAGGTACCAATATTTATTTATCATTATTTCTTCATTCTCTTATACTAGTATAAGATTAGATGCTCCATATACATGGATAAAGGAAGTTACTTTGACGCAGGGAAAACGGTGTTAACGATGTGACCATAAAGATCTTGTATTGTGGGATCTGCCACACTGACCTTCACTATGCTAAAGATGAATGGGGCATTACCATGTACCCTGTGGTACCCGGGTAAGTAATAAAGTTCCATTGTTGATGAATTGATTAATTACGAAGGTTTGTTGAAAGTGTTTGTGTGCAGGCACGAGATAGTTGGAGTGATAACTAAGACTGGAAGCGATGTGAAAGGGTTCAAGGAAGGAGATAGAGTGGGTGTGGGGTGTTTGGCAGCTTCATGTTTGGATTGTGAACACTGCAAGACCGACCAGGAAAATTACTGCGACAAGTTGCAATTTGTGTACAACGGAATCTTCTGGGATGGCAGCATCACCTATGGTGGCTACTCCCAAATCTTTGTTGCAGATTACAGGTTATTTCATCGCTTTCTCTTTCTTTCATAGAGAAGAGAGAAATGGGTTGATAACATTTAATAACTGCTGTTAAAAAACTGCCGTGGAATGTAGTTACTTTTTCGGTTTCTTTTATGATGAATTTGTGTGTTCTCTAAAGATATGAAATTTTGATGTGAAGATATGTGGTACACATTCCGGAGAGCCTGCCAATGGATGCGGCGGCTCCTCTGCTGTGCGCCGGAATAACAGTGTTCAGTCCTCTGAAAGACCACGATTTGGTGGCCTCGCCGGGGAAAAAGATTGGGGTGGTTGGTTTGGGAGGGCTTGGACACATAGCCGTTAAATTTGGGAAGGCATTTGGGCACCATGTTACTGTCATCAGCACTTCCCCTTCCAAAGAGGCTGAAGCTAAGCAACATCTGGGAGCTGATGAGTTCATACTCAGCTCCAACCCTACACAATTACAGGTTTCTTATCTCATCACCTTCATTTTTTGGCCTCTACATTTCTCATGGATGCACCAAAAAATAAATGGGGCCAGCACCTTATGGTTTTGATGTTCTGGGGGGGCTTAATAGGCCATGTGAAATAAGGAAATGATTTGAACAAGTTTAGATTTTGTGTTTACAGGGTGCAAGGAGAAGCCTAGATTTCATACTGGACACTGTTTCTGCAGAGCACGCTCTCGTTCCCATGTTGGAATTGCTCAAAGTAAACGGCACCTTATTTATCGTGGGTGCACCGGACAAGCCCCTCCAATTGCCTGCTTTTCCATTGATTTTTGGTAACTTTAACAATAATTTTCCTTCGTCATTTGCCAATTGTTTACACTTTGTTTGTCCATTTTTATAAACCTTGGAACAAATCAAGAACAGAAGAATTGGTTGTGACAGGGAAGAGATCAGTGAAAGGTGGGATCATTGGGGGAATAAAAGAGACTCAGGAAATGATGAATGTTTGTGCCAAGTACAACATAACGAGTGACATTGAGTTAATCACACCAGACAGAATCAACGAGGCCATGGAACGTCTTGCCAAGAATGATGTTCGCTACCGTTTCGTCATTGACATTGCTGCTGCCACTTCCAACAACTAGACTTCAATATTTATTGTTTCTGAGACCAATTTTTAGAAACCCACATGCCTGTTATCAGGGACTAGTGATTCTACATCTGCAATTGTATGATTAATTCATACATTTATGTCAGTCCTTACCTATTTTATTCGACTAGTCTTTACTTTAACTCTGAATTCATTAGTTGAATGAAACATTTATATTAGTTACTTTTTTCCTTCCTAAAACCAATCAATATAAACATTTTACGATTACAAATGGCAGAAACAATCCAAACATATTTAGGAAAATATCGGTTTTAAATTTAGAATTCATATTAAACGCGGTCAATTTGAACCTGATTGGATTATGATCGAAAGCAATTTAGTTTGTAAAAATATTAAAAATTAAGTTTTTATAATATTTGAACGTTCTGAATTTTATTTTTTCAACTATTATAGTGTCTCCGAATTTTTAAATTCATGATATTTATTGTATAATAAAAATATTTTTAATATCAACATAGTATGATAATAATACATCATTTATTAGTAATAATCTATTCATTATCCGTAATGAGCTTATTAGATTTAAATATATAATAAAATAAGTGTGATTATTATTGATAATAGGATGGTAATGTGATTGTTAATTTAGTATTTATAAGCCTAAGGTTGGGATAGATTATTTTATGTAAAACTTGAGGTTAATTTTTCTCACTTGTCCCGTAATATATACATAGATATATGGATAGACTCGCATAATAAAAATAAAATAACTATATTTTAATATATATAATGAATTTCTATATATTAAATCACATGAAAAAAATACAAACAAGCAAACTAATTTGCAAAAATTATTATCTTTTACTTTATCATAAGTAAATCTTATTCACATTTCATATCAATAAATATATTACAATATAATCATGTTATAAAATAATTAATTCATAGGATTTTAATTAAGCATTAAATTATTTAAAAAATAAAAAAAAATTAATGAATAATAAAAAAGAAAATTTAAGTTTTTAATATGTGAATGAATTTTTATTAGACCTAGCAATAAAATTTAAAACCAGACCTTGACCATCTAAGTCACTATGTATAAATGAAATCTCATTATTTATATATAACGAACTGGTTTAGTATATTAAAATCATAAAATATGAACATTAAAAATTAGTAATAAAATATATGTAGTGTTTATAGATAAAAAAAATATTTGATTATTAGAGAAAATATAATATACTTTAGCCCTAAACTCTAACTTGGATCTAGGATAAAAATAAAACATGAAACTCTTATTTGTTTACAAAACAAGCTAAAAATAACTTAAAGTTTTATTGTTTTTTTCTCACATTGAGAAAATATTTTGGTTAAAATATTTATATCTCATTTTTCTTAAACTTAATCATCACTAAATATATTTTTGAAAAATATATTGTTGAAAAATGAATGAGTCTGAATCCCGTACTAAATAAAAATGGAAAAAAAATTGAATAATTTATAGAAAACAAAAATATATAACTCAATAACATATAATAAGTATTAGGTTGAAGATGAAATCAATCCTTACATAAATTTAACTCATTTTTCATTGAATTCAAAATATTATATAAATCCCAGATGTGTGCCTAATATTTTAATTCTAATAGACATTATCTCTATTTTAACATATTTTATTATGGCTTTTTTAATATATTTTTTTAAATGGACATATATACGACCTATTCCACCTCACTAAAATATCTGCTTTGAAAAATGACTTCATTGACGTACCGAGATTTCAAATATCTGCTATAACAAAAAAAAAAAAAAAAAAAAAACTGTTAGATCAAAGTCATTGTTTTCCAATTATTTGCATAGCATGCATTATTATTGTTAGATATTTTAGTTTGATCAGAGAAGAAGAAAAAAAAACGTCTTGCCACAAATCCTAATTCCAAATTAAGGTTTCCTTGCCGTGAAGTGCTAAGAAACTTAAACCCTAAAGTATCTATGCATTATAATTCATACACACACATACGTATAATTTAAATAACTTTTTTAAATTATGATATATGTACACATAACTAATTTAAAAATTAAATGAAAGCATATATCAATTAATTTTAGAAAGAGTTAACTTGAAATAGCTATATAGGTAAATATTTAAGACAAAAATATATTTTAATATTAAAGTAGTTAATAATATTAATGTTAGAAAAAAATGTTACACGACGAAAAAAAAATATATAATAAATGCCCTCAACCTCGATAATTTTTAGAATTCGAATTGCTTAAGCTTATAAAGACGATGGTACGTAGTACATACTCAATCCAATATTTTTTTATAATTATTAGTGGAAACAAAGAATAAATGTCCACATTTTTACGATAATAAAAGGTAATTAATATTATTAAATAATTTAACAATTAAATAGTTACTAAAATATTAAAGATAAAATCGTAATAAAGTTATGAAATATATAATAATAATTAATAAAAAAATATTAAATACAAAATATGAAATAATTGTATAAAAGAAATGGTTAGAAAAATTAATTCCTTTATTTATCTGTAATATGTAAGTAAGTTAGGTATATTTGACATTTTAAGAACCTATTATCAAATATTCATAAAAGAAAATTTGTCAAAAATTTAGAAAAAAAATTCATATATATATATATATATATATATAATCTTATATAATATAATAAAATATTTATTTTTAAAAAATTAATGACATATATAGTCAATAAAAAATGAAAAAATTATTTTTGCAGCACCCTATACCATATGTCAGATTTACTCAATTGTTACAAATCTTAATCCATGGAAAGAAAATGAAGAATTGTAGGGAATTTTTTTTCAAAAAACCATTATATTGAATATTTTTTAACTCGTTGTCAAAACCAAAATAGAAAATTATTTTGAAATTAAAAAAAAAAAGCGTCACCTTATCTAAGAAAAACCATTGAAATTTGATATAGATTATTAAACAGAGCAATTTCTTAAAATGAGAGTTAATTAATTTTGAAAGAATTTGTAATAATAAAGAATTATGGTTCTAAACATAAAACAAGAAAAATGATGCTTTCAAACATGAAGCAAGGAAGGGCCAGGAACAGAGGTAGAGATGAGTATGCTTTTTGCTTTATTCGTGGTGTGAGTTTAATCAGAAGATGAATCTTTATGATGACACAATTATTCATGGTTGGGCTTCATTTTAGAAAGAATCTTTTACCTCAATCACACTGCTACGTAACATGCGCAATGATTACCACACCCACGTGGCAAACACATTATATATATGAAAATGAAAACATAATCATAGGACCCCACCATAATATCTTGCTTTAGCGCCATCTGTGTTTCATATCTTACACACAAACGCGTTCCTTATCCGTTGTCAATTATCATCATTTTCACTCTTTTCAATATATTAATGAAAATAGCCAATTTACTTAATTTCTTTTAAATTTTATCAAATTAATGTTATCATTAAAAACTTCTAAAATTGTTTTTTCTAAAAACGTGTCTCTTATTGTGAAGCCAAGACTCAATAAACATGAATACATGCAAACATAATTTTGTTTTAACCACATCATCCTTTATAAATGAATTTTAGGCGATAAAGTTGGCAAAAGTTTGACAAAAGGAGGAGATGGCATGCTGTTGTTACAAGTTACTATAAAAACTTTACATAGAATGTAACATAAAATAGTGAGTGTTTCTTTTTGTTTTGTTCAGATACTAAATCAAAGATTAATCCCACAAATTTGAATGAGTGTTGACATATGGTAATGATCCAATAAGAAACATTGTTTTTTACTACATACATGATCCATGATTGCGCGGAAATATGGGAGGAGGTGACTGGTGTTGACGTGGGAGAACACACCGTGTGAGGGACACTAACGTGTGACCAAAGCCATTTAATCATTTGTGGCACTGCTAAGTGCCATCTAGATTCCTTCTCCTTAAGCTTTTCTTCTTAACTTCTTCTCAATCCACCAATACACAACACCTTTTTCTCTCTCTTTCTCCCTCCCTATATATACCTTATGTATACCTTGCTGTAACAATTCCTTCATTCAGTTAATCAGATTTCGAGTCCACACAACATATATGATTAGATCTCTCGTTCTCTGCTGTTAATATTTCTTCTTTATATATGCGCGATATGACATGTACTAGGTGGCTTTGTTCTCTGCGAAAAACAACAGGTGGCTTTGTGTTTCCTTTTTTCTTTTATCAATTAGATGTTTGTTTTGATTGGTATAGTGCTACTGTCCACATGATTGGCTTCATGAATTCTATGACTAAGTTATGTTTTGTGTGCAAAATAATTGAACAGGTAGATCACGGAAAGAATCTGAGGAAGATAGATTGTGTAAGAAGGGAAGCGTGAATGAGGAGTATTTAGAAGCATTCAGAACAAAGTCTTACATCGAAATATGCAACAAAGCACAAGGGGGTCTTGGAAAGACAAGCACCAAAATGCTAAATTCCTCTTCATCATCATCATCATCATCTTCTTCATCAATTCCCTTATGCATGCAGCTTACGGAGTACTTGCTTGAGCCACGGCAAGAGACGATAGCAAACATGACGAAGAGGTTGAGGCTGCATCATCTTCTTGTGGACTACTTCGAAGCCACCTTGGAAGCGTGTCGTTGTTGTGACACAATCCTTGAAGCCATCCATTCAATGAGACTTGCTTATCGAAGAATCACAAGAATTATTAAGCTAAGCAAAATGGTCCTTGATGCCAATAATGACCAAACCCACAAAGATACCATCTATAGAGAGCTTTCTTCCTTTGCTTTGCAAAACAATCCTTTCTCCATTGGTAGCACCGTGCAGTTCCGTGACATTCGCGACAAGTGCGTGGAACTTCTACGTAGACTGAAACAAACGAGAACGGATATTAGAAGGAGGTTGACACGGAAGAGGGTCTGCAAGAAGGTTGCTGAAGCTGTTCTTGTTGTTTCTCATAGTGTGGTTCTTGTTGGTTTGTTAGTGTTTGCTTTTCATAGTATAGTTGGGGTGGTGGTAGCACCGAGTATTGTGAGTGGTTTGGTTGGTTTGTTGGTGAAGAAGGGTGGTGAAAGGGTAGGGTGCAGACCTTCTGAGAGGCTGTGTGAGCAACTTGATGTGGCCGCAAAAGGGGTTTACATTCTGATCAATGATTTGGACACAATGTGTCGGATGGTGAAGAGGTTGCAGGATGAGGTGGAGCACAGGAAAGTGGTTGCTGAGGTTTGTGTGAGGAATGGGAGTCGGGAGATTCTGAAGCAGATAACGAGGGAGTTTCATGAGCGTGAGTCTAGCTTTCTGGAGCAGTTGGAAGAGCTGGAGGGGCATATCTACTTGTGTTTTCTCACCATAAACAGATCCAGGAGGCTTGTGGTGCAAGAAATTACAGAGAAAAAGTAAACTTTAAAAAACACCATACTTCTCTCTTCCTTCAATTCCACCTTTTATACAGAAAAATAACAAGTTCTATATGTTCCATTTGAATTTATGAAGCTTCTATAGCTGTCAAAGTGCAATAGAGAAATTAAGGTTTCTGAAGCAGGACATATATATTGGGCTCTTCCTTGATCAATTATGGCAAGTTGCTTTTGATGAGGGCTTATTGATGCTTCAAATGGTTTTTGTTTTTTCCAATTTTCTAGACCACATATATTTATTCGTACATGTGTTTGTAAATAATTCAGATAAAATAAAAACCTAAGGTTACAATTTTTTCTTATTCTTTGTTTCGGTTAAGTTGTCGCTTGTTCTTACCTTTGTACATATTGATCTGTTAGTTAATTTCTTTTTTCTTTAAACTGATAGAAAATAAGTTAAATCTTATAAAACTCGTCATACAAAATTGTCTTATTAAATAAGTTAAATCCTAAAAAATAATACACAAAAATCAGTTAATAAACAAGTTTATTTAAATAAATGTAAATAATTTTAAAATACTATCATCGTAGTATTGAAGATGAAAAACCGAAAATCTCAGGATTCAGATACCTACAAAATAAATAAATAAAGACTATGAAAATCAAAGTATGTTTTTACTTAATTGTTTTTTTAATACTCTAATGTAACATGGCCACCACCGCTGCACTCAGGGCAAAACGAAAAAGAAAAAGAAAATATACTTTTTACTCTCTGTTTTTTTTTTTAATTTATCTTTTGATCTTTGTATTTTTAAATTAAAAACTATCCTTTAGCTCTTAAAATTTTGATTTTAATTATTCTTTCTATTTAAATTTAATATTAAAAATAATTATTTTATTTTAATAAAGGGGATAAAATGACAAACGTAATTTTAGTATTTTTTTATACTAAAATTAATATATTCTAATATTTTTTATTATAAAAAATTAATAAAATAACTAAATTTACATATTTTTTTTAGAAAAATTGAAGGATTAATTAGTAATTTTAAAATATAAGAATAAATTAAATTTAATAAAAAAATTTGGAAAAAAAAAACATGTTTAAAACATGAGCAAAATTTCAGATAATGCAATCTCTGCACAATCTTATTATGGATTTTGATATGTACCTGTAATTTTATATTTAAATTTAAATTTTAAAATATTAATTATATTTTCTTTTTCATATCTCAGATAATTTCTTTTATATTTCACATTTTTTTCACTTTTATTCTTACTCTTTTTTTTCTTTTTCATTTTTTTCAATTTTTTCAACCAATTTATTTAATATATTATTCTCATCCTCTTATTTTTCACTCTGTCACAATTTTTTTTAACCTCTTCAATTAGTTTTTTTTTCTTTAAACTAATTTGGTAAATATAAAACTAATTATTCATTATTTTTTTCTAAATATTTTAGATCCATCTTAATAACATCTATTATTATTATTATTATTATTATTATTATTATTATTATTTTATTTTTAGTTTATTTTTATTAAATTTTGGTACGTGATATTTTTTATTTTATTATTCTTATTTATCATATATCAAATTTTATCTTAATTAAATAGTTAGATTTTAAAAGATTAACAATAATTAATAATAAAAAATTATACACTAATTAAATAAAAATTAACTTATTAAATATTTTCTTATAATACATTTCATATTTATTAACATTTTAAAATGATAATTAAAAATAATAATATTATAATATACAATCACAATAAAGTCGTAACTATTCTATATCCATATAAAAAATAAAATATTTTTTATTTGTATTTTAATATAAATATTATAAATTAAAATATATATTTAATTAATAAAATAGTAATTAAAAAAATAAAAATATTTATGTATATATAAAAGGGTTAAAATTAATCTATTATAAATATAATTATTTTTTAGAAATAATATAAAATAAAGATAAATAGGATAGAAAAAGCTCAAACCAATGAGAACAGAATAAAAATTTAATTTATAATCTCACCAGGAATAGGGAGGAAGATGTGGATAATTAAGAAAATCAGAGCAGAATCGGGAGAGAAAACGCACCCTTAGCTTTCCATTTCCATGTCAAAATCCAAGTTTATCTTTGGATTATATATCATGTTATTATATATTTAAATCTAGCTTAAATAATTTTGATCTTAAGAAAAAATCAAAACTGTATTGAAAACTTGGTTGGGCCACTAGTCATGGATAGCCATGTCTTGGATTAAATGATGAAATTATAGAGTATATTCTTGTTTCCTCACTTGAAGAAATGTTGGTGGAAACGGTGGTAGAAAAAATGGTGACAATAGTGAATCTTTCGTTAGTGTTTAAGAAGGAACGCATGGGGTGAAAAATATTCATCCCCGTGGTTCTTCAATACATTGTGAAAAAACATTTGATTTCACTATAAAACGTACATTCAATACGAATTATGAATCATCTGACGAATCTACAGTCGTGCCTGATTTCTTGTCCACCGTCGGTGATGCTGCTCATCTTGATCATGGACTTGACGAAGGCCCTTTCAAATTCCTGTGGAGAACAAGCAAACTTGGAAACCAAAGCTTTAGTGGTGGGATGAGTGAGCAGAGCTTGATCAGAAGAGAATATGCTCTTTCCTTGGAGGAGCAACTTGTAATAAGCATTGTCAAACAAGGTGGCACTGGAATCCAATGAGGTCCCTGCATTTCTCACCTTGTTATCAAAGGGACATATGCTTCTGAGGCTGCTTGCAAATGAAGGGTTCAGAGAAGGATCAATGTCTTGTTTGGGGCTGAATTTATGGATTCTGTTCTCAAAGGATGAACAATGAGCAAATCCAAGTGTGTGACCTCCTGCACATACATGACAAAACATCATGTCATATGTATTAGAAGGTCATGATCATGTAAAACAGTTACTCAAACCGGCAATTTCCTCATACTTCAAAAATATATTTTGATAGATTGATGATGTAAAAAAATGTATGAAACTTTTTAATGACATTGGATAACAACACAACTACCATTTTAGATGAGTGTGATTTCATTTTCTTTGTGTGTAATTGGTATTTTACAGCAGAAAAGAAACTTGTATTTCAGTAACCCAATTCTTAGTTTTGGTTAAAGATAAGATGACATCGTATTCTTTGTACGAGTAATTAACCTAATATTTTAAGATTTGGGGTGAAGGATTATACCAACTTTCATGGTTCCTTGGTATCTATTTGTAAAAATCTCTCAATGTTATCCTTCTCTAAAGTATAAAAAACTAATATAACACCATGTTACATTCAAACCCTTAAGACATAAGTGATTTTAACTTACTCTTAAATTGATTAGAATAACGTTATTAGATTTGCTGGGATTGAATTCATTATTTGAATTTGAATAGAACCTGAGAGGGCTACAAGATCCTCCAGGGAGAGGCTTCTTTGAGAGAAGGTTTGTTGTAATTGGGAGATGTTGAAAGTAGGAGCTGGCAATTGTCTGGTTTCAGTGGCCTTTGATATCCTTCCATCCTTTCTTCCTTTTGGAACATCCCAAGTGGGGCCTCCGGACTAAGCCACCCAAAGGCAACAAGTGAATGAATTTCTAATAAACTATGAATAAAAATATGATGAGTGTATGTTATTATTGGTCGAGACACTAACCAGGGTAACAGCATCCCTAGCAGCAAGAGCCAAAATATCAGCACAAGACACGACCCCGGGGCAAACTTCTTCCAGTGCTTTCTTAGCATTGTCAATGACATAAAATGCATGCAATGAAATGTTAGGAGGTCCATCTTTTTCTGCTTTGTTCTCTCCCTCTGATTCCAGAAGAACAGAAGCATCACAACCCTAGAAAAAGAGAGTAAACATGATCACTTCTACGCTTACATATCTCTTAACAAAAGTTACTGGCATACCCTTATGAAGCAATCATGAAAATGCATCCGAAGGAGAGCAGCTGGGACAGTTTTGTCGTTCATGGTTGCGTGGTGAACAGAAGTAGCAACAATGGAGTCCACATGAGGGCAGGTATTTTCATAGTAGTTTACATTTAATGCACTCACAAGAGGAGCAAAGTGCATGGTAGTTATGACCACCATCACTGTAGCAATTGCTGCCATATTTCAAACCACAAACTAATTCAGAAACTTTGTATATGACTTGTGAGGAACAGAAGGAGAATAAATATGGTATTTATAGAGAGTGGTGGTGGTGACACGGGAAGCATGGAGTTGTTAAACAGATTAGGTGATCTACGACCCTGTCAGTGGAGTAGTGTTTTCAAGCACTAATCAAAGTTGCATTTGGTACTGTTGCGTTTATAAACCAACGTTAGTTATCACAGAAGCAACCCCAAAACATACAGGTACCTTTTTCCCTTTGACTTTCCTATAATGACGTGCTAATTTTTCCATTCTTTTAGTATTTTGATAATTTACCTAAATTTAGTGATTATTTTATGAATTTAATTTAATTTACCTAAAGACCCAAATATGTTTTTTATAGAATTAAAATCTATAAATGAAAATAAGTTCCTTCGTCGATTAATTGTCTTTGAATTGAATAGTAGATACGAAGGAATGAAAAATACGAGAAAGAGAATAGCAAATAAAATTATTTAGATTAAAAAAAATAATAGAAAAATATTTATTATTAATATTTTATTATTATTTTAATATATTTTTTATTAGTTATAATAATAATAATAAATATTAATTATTTTTTGACATAATCAGTTATATAAGTAAATATTATTTAATATTTATTTACATAATTAATCATGTCAAAAAATTTATTTTTTTCGTTTTTTTAAAAGATTTATAGGAGATATGATTGAATAAATAAAAGAAGATAAAAACAATAAAAGGACAATAAATATCTATTAAAAAGGGGTTTATGTGTATATCAATATCTTGCAAATATTAACTAGAATGAATATAAAAAGCAACATTCTTGCTATACATACGTATATTTCTTGACTGATTCCATGGAATTAAAAAATAGCATGTGGCTCAATTGTTTGAATCTCAACAATGGAAATGGGTCTTTGGTTGGAACAGCATATGACCCCAATATGAAGGGTTGAGTGGTTTTGCTTCAACCAACTTGCGTATCTTTGCTTAATCATTGTTCAATTAATGCATTGTTTCATGAAATTATAAATAATAGGAGTATAATTATGATTTGGAACAAACCAACTTCATTTACTACCCAAAAAACGTACTTATTTTGGAAAAATTGCACTACAATTTTACTTGAATCTGAATTAGCAATGAAACAGATATATGGGTCGTTAGTTGCAACAACAGATAGGTTACGTAGTTTGGCTTCAGCTAATTCGAACTGAAAATTGATTTATTTATTGTCTAACACGCACCATCATTAATATACTTCCCTTTAATAGCAATTGCGAAGGGAAAGAAGGTTTCCCCATCGAAGTTTACCTGTGTGATTGTGAAGAGATTCTCCTTCTAACACTTTTCTTTAGTTTTAGATCGAGACACGATCCCCCTTTTAAGTTCTTTTACCATTATTTTCATTTCTATGTATTATCCTGTGAAGGAAGAAGTCCCACATCCGTGGGAACTTCAATTAGGGGCTCTCCTCCTTCTTATAAAAGGAGTCTCTCCCCCTTATTTCATACATCCCAAATATTTCTCCTTCTTTCTCTTTTACTTTCCTAAGTATTGGTAATTTCCAATTGTAAAAGGAAAGAGTGGTCATTATAAAATTTTCATTTTTGCCTATTGTCGGGGTTATTTTTCTCGTCTCTATTTTAGTTGTGTGTATTTATGCTTGGTACTTCGATCCTAACAGTGGTATCGGAGCTGCGTTCGAGTTCAGTTGCGCGTCACTAGAATAGTGTTGGTAAAATTCGAGTATGCTCGTGGTTGCGGTTAATCCGATCTTCCACATCGAAATGAGTTATTACTTGGAAAAGGTGTGGTAGTGTGAAAGTACTATTGAGGAAAGTTCTGGCTAGGAAAGACTTGGTACTTAAGCGTGTCCATTAGTGACCCACCTCTCTTTCCTGGGAACCTACTTAGTGTACTTGGTTCACTGGTCTACTACTATTGTTCCGAAGAGACAATACTATTCATAAGTGAAAGTTGCATAAGTGGAAACACAACCATGGCGACGAAAGTACGAGATAGAGAAGTTCAACGAGAACAATTTCTCGTTGTGGAAATTGAAGATGAAGGCAATCTTGAGAAAGGACAATTGCGCAGAAGCAATTGAGGAAAACCTGCGAAATGACGGATAAAGATTGGAAGAAAATTGACAGCAACGCTATTGCAAATTTACACTTGGCAATGGCAGACTCGGTTCTATCCAAGTGTTGCGGAGAAAGATTCTCGCAAAGGAGATTTGGGATGCCCTCATTAAATTATATGAGGTGAAGTCACTTCACACAAGGATATTCCGAAGAGGAAACTCTATACTCTTCGGATGAGTGAGTCCACATCGGTGACGGACCACATCAACCAACCGAACACCTTGTTTGCCCAATTAGCGACAGCAAATTTCAACATAGTTGAGAATGAGCGTGCGGAGCTCTTACTTCGAGCTTGCCGGACTCGTATGATCAACTCATCATCAACATTACAAATAATAATATTGAAGGACAACTACACTTTGACGATGTTGCGGAGCTATTCTAGAAGAAGAATCCAGGCGAATGAATAAGGTAGAAAGTTCTAAACAAGCGAAGTTTTGACGATGATGAGAGGAAGATCAGCGGAACGTGGTTCAAGTGGGAGTCAAGATCATGGCAGATCTAGCTCTCGAAACAAGAAGACTTTCAAATTTAAATGCTACTACTCGTGGCAAGAAAGGGCACACGAAGAAAGAGTGTTGGAAGAGGAAGAATGAAGAATCAACCTCACAAGGTTGCATTGCGAGTACTTCGAGAGGAAGGAGTAATTCGGTAAGCGAAGCAAGAATCGACTCTAATGGCGGAAACGAATTTCATGACAAGTGGATAATGGATTCGAGTGCAACTTGGCATATGACCCCACACCGAGATTGGTTTCAAACCTACAAGCCTATCTCGGGTGGATCCGTGTTCATGGGAAATGACCATGCATTGGAGATTGCTCGGAGTTGGTACTCGTCAAATTAAAAATGTATGACGGTACTATTCGCACAATCCAAGAAGTACGACATGTGAAGGACTTGAAGAAAAATATATTGTCTATAGGGCAATTGGATGACCTCGACTGCAAGATCCATGTTGAAGGAGGAATCTTAAAGGTAGTGAGGGGAAACATAGTTGTCATGAAAGCAGAGAAAATCATGGCAAACTTGTATGTGCTTATGGGAGACACCTTGCAAGAAAATCATGCAACAAGCTGCGTCGACAAGCCAAGAAGAAGCGGCGATAACGTGGCACCGTAGACTTGGACATATGTCGGAGCGAGGTCTGCAGATTCTTGCGGAACGTGATCTCATACCTGGGCTCAAGAAGGTCGATTTACCCTTCGTGAGCATTGTGTGACAAGCAAACAACACAGGTTGAAGTTTGCAAGAACCACCACAAGGAGTAAGCAAACTTTGGACTTGATCCATTCGATGTCCGGGAATCACCGGAATTATCTCTCGGAGGAGCAAAATATTTTGTGTCGTTCATCGATGACTACTCGAGGAGATTATGGGTATACCCTATCAAGAAGAAGTCCGAAGTATTTGCGCGGTTCAAAGACTTCAAAGCACAAGTAGAACTTGAGACCGGAAGGAGAATCAAGTGTTTGAGGACAGACAATGGAGGAGAATATGTAGATGGAGATTTTCTAGCATTCTCGCAAGCAAGAAGGAATTGTGAGACAATTTTCTGTTCCACACACGCCTCGCAGAATGGTGTAGCAGAGCGGATGAATAGAACTCTTCTAGAGAGAACCGGAGCTATGCTTGCAAGCTGCATGCATAACAAAGTCTTTACGGGCGAAGCCGTGAATACCGCCTGTTACTTGATAAATCGGTCTCCATCAACAAGCAATTGGGTTGAAAACTCCTATGGAAATGTGGAGTGGAAAATCAACCGATTATTCTTCCTTACATGTGTTTGGTTGTCCCGCGTACGTGATGTACAACACCCAAGAAAGGACGAAGTTGGATCCAAAATCCAGGAAATGCATCTTCTTGGGATATGCCGACAATGTGAAGGGGTATCGCTTGTGGGATCCCACTGCCCACAAAGTTATTGTTAGCAGAGATGTCGTCTTTGCGGAAAATGAACTGCAAAGCAAGCGGATAAATGACGACTCGGAAAAGGACAAGACTATAGTACGAGATAGAGAAGAAGACTTCGGAACATTCATCCGAGTCGGAGGAGGAGCATGAAGAACATGAGCCAAATGAGGTGGAAGAAGGAGAACTCCGACGATCAACAAGAGAAAGAGTCGGACCATCTTGGCATTCACAATATGTGATGACAAGTCATGATGCGTATTGTCTCCTAAGTGAAGAAGGAGAACCTTCAACTTTTCAAGAGGCCGTGAGTGGTTCGAAGCTCCTCTATGGATGGTCGCTATGGAAGAAGAAATTGAAGCTCTTCATAAAAACAAGACATGGCATCTTGTGGAACTTCCAAAAGGTCGCAGAGCCATTGGTTGCAAATGGGTCTATAAGATCAAGAGAGATGCCAATGATCAAGTAGAAAGATATCGTGCTAGACTCGGTGGTAAAAGGATATGCTCGGAAAGAAGGCATTGATTTCAACGAGATATTCTCACCGGTTGTTAGATTGACAACAATCGAATTGTCCTGGCGATGTGTGCTTGCATTTGATTTACATCTTGAGCAATTGGATGTAAAACCGCTTTTCTTCATGGAGAACTTGAAGAGGAAATATATATGCTCCAACCAGAAGGCTTCAAAGAGCAAGAAAACTTGGTTTGCGGGTTGAACAAATCTCTATACGGTCTAAAGCAGGCGCCAAGGTGTTGGTATAAGAGATTTGATTCCTTCATTATTAGCCTCGGATACTACGGACTAAGTTCGGACCATTGTACTTACCACAATAGGTTTGAAGAAAATGATTTTATCATATTCGTTGTTGTATGTGGATGACATGTTGGTGGTAGGCCCTAACAAAGCTCGAATCCAAGAATTGAAGGCACAATTGGCTAGGGAGTTTGATATGAAGGACTTGGGACCAACGAAACAAGATTTTAGGGATGCAAATTCACCGAGACAGTAAAAGATAGGAAGATTTGGCTTTCTCAAAAGAATTATTTACTTAAGATCTTGCGGCGCTTCAACATGCAAGATTGCAAGCCAATTTCTACCCCACTTCCCGTCAACTGTAAGTTATCCTCAAGTATGAGTCCTAGCGAGTGAAGCGGAGAGGATCGAAATGTCTCGAGTACCGTATGCATCAGCGAGTGGGAAGTCTTATGTATGTCATGATTTGTACAAGACCGGACATTGCACAAGCGATGGGAGTGGTTAGTAGATTCATGGGGAATCCCGGTGGAGAACATTGGCAAAATGTGAAGAGGGTCCTTAGGTATATAAAAGGAACCTCAAATGTTGCATTATGTTATGGAGGATCGAAGCGGTTGTCGGAGGTTATGTAGATTCGGATTTTGCAGGTGATCTGGATAAAAGGAAGTCTACTACTTGGTTATGTGTTTACCATCAATGGAGGGGCGATAAGTTGGTTATCCAAGTTACAAGATGTGGTAGCTCTGTCTACTACTGGAAGTCTGAATACATGGTCATCACCCAAGCATGTAAAGAAGCTATCTCGGATTAAAAGAATAATGGGGGAACTTGGTCACAAGCAACAACAAATTGTTGTGTCTTGTGATAGTCAAAGTGCCTTACACATTGCAAGGAATCCGACCTTTCATTCGAGGACAAAACACATAGGAATAAGATATCATTTTGTTCGAGAAGTAGTAGAAGAAGGAAGTGTAGACTTACGGAAGATCCACACCGAAAAGAACCTAGCGAGATGTAATGACAAAACCTAGGTTAATCGCCGACAAGTTTATATGGAGTCGATCCCTCTATGGCCTATCGGAAGCATAAGCAACATGGATGTGAGAGAAGAAGACATAGTGTGAAGATTTGATTAATTTCATCAAAATCTTCAAGTGGGAGATTGTGAAGGAAGAAGTCCCACATCCGTGGGAACTTCAATTGGGGGCTCTCCTCCTTCTTATAAAAGGAGCCCCTCCCCCTTATTTCATACATCCCAAATATTTCTCCTTCTTTCTCTTTTACTTTCCTAGTATTGGTAATTTCCAATTGTAAAAGGAAAGAGTGGTCATTATAAAATTTTCATTTTTGCCTATTATCAGTGGTTATTTTTCTCGTCTCTATTTTAGTATGTGTGTATTTATGCTTGTACTTCGATCCTAACATATCCTTCGTCTTTTTCTTAAATATATATCTTTTTGAATTCATTAATTATCTGTTTATGAATAGTTATAATATTAATGAAATATGAATCAAATTCACCTCACAAAAAATTGAGATTACTTTTAATTAAAAATCTTAAAATATTATATAATGAGTTTTTCTTTTTTATATATTATTCAACTTTTTTATTATTACTCAACCTCATATTTAGGTTTACATTTAAATTTTTCAACAATTATTAGATATAAGATCTTAATAATACAATTTTATCATATATAAAACCGAAACATTCTCTTTTCTGAAACATTCTCCTTTCTAGATAGAATGTTAGATATCAATCTATCTTTAATCCAAAACCTTAAAATATATTATCGTATCGTATACAAGAGTCTATCTTGCTCCTAAATAGATATATTAAATATCATTCAATCTTTAATTCAAAACCTTAAAACATATTATCATAATTTTATTTTTAATTCAAAATCTTAAACACATTTATCACAATAAACATAAAATGAAAATATTTTTACTCTGAATATACATTAAATATCATTTCTTTATTTTTAATCCAAAATCTTAAAACGATAATAAATTTGTTTTGGGTTTAGGTTTGTTCGACTACTACGATAAGTTATAATCATACAAAAATATAAAATAAGCATTTCAGCGGATACATGTTTTATATATATATTCTTGGGAAGCAATTTAAATATATGAATGAAGTATTTTAAAAACTTGTCCGAATTTCAATTTTGGGAGGAAGATATTGGCAGTGAAGTTGATGAGTTTGGGTTGGTCTGAAAGGGAAAAGAACTAAACATGTGTCAGTGTCCCGATTCGGTGTATGTGAGACATCAGTTGCAATGGTTCCAGCTAACGTGGTGTGTCTCACTTTCATTAACTCATGTCATGTCATGTGCATGTGCGTGTGCTTTAATCAAATAAAAAACACTTAGATTCTCTACTAGCTGTTAAAGACCATGCTGCATCTAACAGCTTCACACTCCTAGTGGCTGAGATTTGTACACTATGCTTTAAGCTTGTATTATCATTTTCATCTTTCCAAAACAAATATTAACAGGTTCACTAGGGGTGTTTGTTCATAGAACCAAAATGTCATCGGGAACTCAAACCCTTTCAAACTAGAAACTTCTGCCATGTTAGGACCATTTATTTAAATTGGATTGAAAATTTTGAATTTCAATTTACTCCATTACATAATATTTTAGGACTTTAATTCAATTTATTTAATTTTTTATTATTCTTCATATTTACACATATTCACATTTTACACACAATTTTTAATTTTTTTTTTCAATTTTTATTATCTAATAATAAATCCAATCACCCAATTTAAATCCATATAATTGTAATAATCATATTGGATAGGTTGAAATTAGATATCTCATCTACAAAATCTTCAATACAAAACTAAGAAAACTTCAATCTGAATCAATTAAAATTAATCTATTCAAAGTTTTTTTTTTTTTTAAATTACTACTAACTCGACTACTTGCAGTTCTGATAATTTTTTGTGGTTTCAAAACTTGATGAAATTAACACACAACAGTGACAACATTACATGGAAAAATGTAGAGAATTAATATTCTTTCCCACTCTCACAGTACAGCTTCCACTTAAACTATAGTATTCATATAACTACCATTTATTTATGGTATAAATTTAAACCAGAAAAGATGCTTATTTGATTTCTATAAGCTTGAGTTTCCTTTGTGATGCGATGGTTTTAATCATGATAAAAATTTATTTGAGGCATGTATGTATTGGGCCTTCATTAATGGCATGGAGTTGATAGTTTGATCCACCAAATAATCAAAACCAGAAGAGAGTAGTGGCGGGCTGCTTCATTAAAATAAAAAAGCTCGCCTCAGCCGTTGAGTTTTTTCTGAGCTTAGAACTGAACTGGACTAGAGAAAGTTTGACCGAAAGTCCAAGTTGCTGGAACAATATTTTGGAAAACTCGGATTTCTCCATCAGTGGTTGTGACCCTGAAGGACAAAGATTGACCATTCAAATATGCATTGGATTGCCAATTAGCACCCCAGTTTCTTGACATAGCCATCCACCCTGTTTTCGACCCTTTGATGGACACAGATTGGATGGATCCAGCTCCACCCACATTGCTGATCAACACAAGCTCGAAGTAGTCCCTCCCATTCACACTGAACCTAACCCCTCCATGCTTTTTGCATGGAACCCTGCAACAATGATATTAATATGTCACAAAATAATTCAAAAAAATGATTTGTCAGATATTAATATTGTTAGTTTTTTAGTGCAGTGATCACAATGAAATTAGTAAACATTCAACTCTATAAAGTTGATTTATAAATTGAAGACTGGATAATGCATATTTCTCACTCTAAGAGACAGAATCTCCAATGTAAAATTTGAAGTTTGATGACCTATTATGATAATATCTGAGAAATTTATGATTGATAAGATATATTAATATTGTTATATTATATGATACCAAGGTGGAGAAAATATTATAACCTTTGGAATAAGACTGGCACGATTCCTCCTCTGTAAATACCAATTTTTTCCCAAGCAGGTTGGGCCATGTCAAAATGCTTGAGGGGTGGGTTGCACCAGCCTCCATTGTCGTTAGGAAGAGCAAAATTGGGAGGGCAAAAGTTTGTGGCGGTTATGGTGACAGATCTTCCTTTGACGCACCATCTGGCGTCTGCTTTGTAATCACATATGATTTTGTAGCACTCACCACAGGAAGCTCCATCATTAAATAAGGCAGTGCTTAAAGCTGCAGTTCTAGTTCCATACCCTGTTGAATACAGATTTCCATACCCACAAGCTCCCCCTGCAAGCATCCAAAAGTTATATGTGTAAAAATTTCAATGGCTGTTCGAAGCTTAGGGTAAAAAATGGAATATAGAAGTAAAAGGTTAGGTTACATTTGCTTACCCATGGTTCCTGAAGCATCACTACCCCCATAAAAAGTGGCATGGGCATTGGTCCATCCAGAAGGTGAGAAGGCATAAGTAGTGATTGTGAAGCAGTATAATCCAATGAGGCCACCCAAAAGAAACATAACTTCGTCCATCTTTTTTTGTTGCTAGCTGAATGCCTAAGACCCCAAGTGAGATGATGAGGTTGAAGTATACGAGAGTAGAAATTGTGTTTGCAATTATTGTCATTTCCAAACAGAAGCTGTGTTTAAATAAGGAACTAGACAAGCTAGCTAAGCCAACTATGGCACATGTGAGGCTCTGCAGGATGAGAGAACTGAAGAAACAATTTTTATTATTTATCAGATTAAATTTAGCTGTGCAAGTCTGATTATCATTCAATCCTTCCCACGTTCTCTTTCAGTATTCCTCTTATACATCCCTTCTCACCCACTCACATGCACATCCCACATAAGAGCCGTGAATGTTTCAAAACATACAAAGCCCATTTGGTCGTCAAATTTTTTAATTTTAGCTCCTCACAGATCCCAATATCTACTTCTTTCGTCTCACATGGATCTCATGGTTCGTAACTCCTTCTGTGGATAAAATGACAGAGAATGGTTTTATCATATGGAACAAACGGTGGAGATCGAAACGTACATGGTCACATGGAAATGATGACAGTGTCGTTTTTTGTGAGCTACATCCACATGTCCCATTTTGCCTCTACAGAGTGTCAGTTGTCTACTAGCTAGCAACGCACACAGTCACCGTTGGTTCAATCTGATAACACATGGGATATTAAGTAAGTTATCCAGTTGGACATTGGACACTGAATTTTCTCCTTTTCTAAGTGGAGTGTTCATAAATTATAAGTTTGATCTCTTGGGGCCATGCTATGCTATAATAGCACCGTCAAAAGGAAAGAGCAGAGACAGATTAGGAGGAAAGAAGCAAGGCAGTTCACCATGAGAGTTAGAAGAAAGCAGACAAAAAAAGGACAAACTAACTGCACCGTCAAGCAATCTCAAATTGCTCAATGCCGATAAACCCAACCAAAGGCAAAGGTTTTACTTTCATTACAGATTCTTCACTTGTCACTTCATTACAGATTCTTCACTTGTCACTGTACTAAACTTTTCTAACAACATGCCTACCTCACATCAGGCTTTAAAATATCCAAGAAAAATAAATAAATAACTGTTACAGCATTAGATTATGCAACCAAAACAAGAAAAGAAAAAAAAAAAAAAAAGGAAGGCAGGCAGGCAGGGCGCAATTTATCTGAGAACAGGAAAAAAAAACATATTTACGCTCAAAAACAATGACAGCTAATCCTCTACAGTTTATATACCTCTTTTTTTTTTAATGACAGATAATTTTCAATAGTCAAACTTTTGAACTGAATCACAAAAATGAAAATAAGATTAGTTTACTCAAATCCTATAACAGTTGTCCGATCAAGGAATCAAATCATTGGTGTTGCCATGATTTGTAAACAATGGCAAATATCACAATATGACAGGATTTCCAGAAATTTTGTAGAAAATAAACTTCTCGCTCAAAAAAGGAGACGGTGATGAGAGTTGTCCAACTGAGAAATGTAAGGCACCTATGGGAAATAAAGAGATCCTGACAGCCACAATATGATAAAAAGACCAAATCGTTATCAAAACTCATCCTCATCTTCCTCTTCCATAGGCTTGTCAAGGAGCAAATCAATATCAGAAGTCATCATCCTCTTCGTCTTCTATATGCTTAGCCAATTCTTGCTCTTGTTGTCTTTCTCTCCTCTTCTCAGCACTTTGTGCATGTTAAGACAAAAGACAATCCAAGAATTAAATGTCAACTGAGGCTCATGTGTAGAGTAAATATCTCCAATTTTCTTAGATATCATCCACCTGTCAGCATGATCTAATGAAGCATCAATGGCCCCATCACGGATAGCCTTTGCTACAATGCTCTCAGCATCTGCAACAGGATCGGCAGAGTTCAACCTCAACTTTTTAGCTACATCAGCTAGCCATATGCATGAATATGATATACTGATGTTGCGTAAACCAGTCCTGATGACATTATGGCGCAGCCGATCAATCAAATTATGAGTTCCATCTGTACTGAAAGTTGTACCAAACTTCTCTGCAACATTCTTAAACAAGTCCAAGTCACCAATCCGGACAGCCTGAAATTCCACAACATGATTCAACATTACCACAAAAAAGCACCATAAGAACATTATGGTTATGATTTAAAAAAACTGTATTGGATTTGAGAGGGGATGTGAAAAACAATGGATTATGATTTACAAACACATGACATAACTTCTAATAGAGTATCACAGATTGAACACATGCTCATACAAATGCATAAAATTGTAAATAATTTGATATGATGCTTCTGAAAAGAACTGAAAGATTAACAATGATTATTTTTACTAAACACATATGTAACTTCTGCTCTCAAAAAACAAAAAATAAAAAGTCATGGCATTCCATACAAAACCTTAGCATGCCAAGAAAGAAACAACGGAAAGATAAAGAGAATACACAAAAGTTTACAACAATAGTTATAGGTGTTCAATGCCTAAATATAGTTGAACTAATTAAAAGTTAAAACCACAAAAAAAATATGATGGTTGTCATCATTGTCTCTTTTGTTGCATAATAATTTAGAGAAATTTTCATCCACAGATTTTTTATTTGATACACATTATGGACAATACAAGCAAATCAACACATTATAAGAGGCTGAGTCACAACACTCTTTTGTCAATTGTTTGATGGTCAATGCATATCACAAGTAGATTTGGAGGTGGAGTAAGGGGTTGCATTGGGTACACTACCCCCCCGATAATGTTATTGGTTGCTTATCATTGGATTGGCAAGGTTTAGCAAAAGTTATGGATATATTCCTTTTGGGTGTTGTGTCTGGAGCACTAAGTTGTTCCAGGTTTATTGAGTAATAAATATTAAGAATTTTGTTCTATGCTGCATCTTCTGTTCTGTTTTGTTATATGATCATTATTAAAATCAAACAGGGAACAAATCTTGTCCAGTTCTTCATTTTTCACAAAACTAAATATACTCTTAAATTAAGTATGATAGCTACAATACAGAAAGAAATTCAATTTTTTGAATACATTTTATTATTTTTTAAAATAAATATTAAATAAAATTGTCTTGAGGAAAAACCACATAAAGGTGTCACTTTATTCTATAGTATAGCAGTATATTTAACTTTAAAATGTTTAAAAAGAAATAGTAAATTGAATGAATCATCTGATGAAAAGTAAAATACAGACTGAGAGAAGCCAGAAAGGTATAAGCTTAAGCAAAGAAAGTGTTGCAATGAATGTATAACTCTAAGACAAGGATAAATACCCTTTTGGGTTGTTATCACAGACATCAGTTTTATCCAAAAGTTTATTGAATTCTTTTATAACAGGTGGTTGAATTTTTTATTAGAGCACATTCAAAAGTTTCTATAGTTCTAGGTTATTTTGATATAGGGCCAAATGTTGAAACCTTGAAGATTAAATTTCTTTCTAATTGGGTCCCTCCCATCAACCAAGATCACCCATCCAAGCTGCCTTCCCATGTCATCGCTTAATTTTCTTTGTTGTCCACTATACTTCAGCAGACATAGACTGTTCCTTTATTTCAATAAAATCAGGCTAAAAGTAGTATCTAATAATAGTCAGCAATTTTCCTGTGTCAATTTTTGTTGAACAAAGCATCAGTGTGTGATATAGTCAAATATCTCTCTAGCAGAGTGGCAGAGCAAAGTTAACCCCAGCTGTTCAAGTGTAGTAGCTTTCAGCAGCAAATGTATACCAAATTTGCGGCATTTCATTTGCTATAGCAACATTACTGTGATGACATTCAAAACGAATTTGCTCCCTCCTCCTGAAACATCTTTGTTTATGGATTCTGTGGGGTAAAACTGTGACTTCTGATCCAATTTCTAATGTATTATTTTTGCCTTAGAAACATTATAGGGTTTGAGAACCTTATCCCTCAGTCATTTCCAAAATAAATTAAAGTTACCTCTATTGACCTGTGTTCCTTCACAATTACAGGTGTATTTTTTCTTCCCGTAGACGTCACAGTTCATTTTAGTTATTGTGCAATTTTTTTCTATTAAATTAACTATTCTTTAATTTTTAATTTAATTCCTATAACATAGGATGGTTAAATAAATAGATAAGACAGCAAGGAACCTAATTACTATGCAACAAAAGTGTAGTGCCTATTATATAACAAGTAAACTATAGGAACTAAACATATGATCAGATCTAAAATTAGAAATTCACTTTTAATGGAACTTAAAATAGGTAATTATGGTTTATAATTTGTGGACTTACGTTAGTAAGCTCAAAGTAAGGCCTCAAAGCTTTCTCCAGTCCTCTCTGCATGAAGACAGTCCTCTCAGGTATTTCTCCCAATAATAAACGTACTATCAGAGCCCACTTGTTACATTGAATTCGAAAACCTCGCGCAGCACTGGGAGCTTTACAGGCAGCCTGAAGGAGAGACTCTTTTGCATCTGTATACTCCAGCTGAATTGTCCGAATTTTGCCAAGGTAGAAGAGATAACGACAGTACTAAAAAACACAACACATGTGGATAATATGGCAAGTAAAAAAGAATTTAAAAACAAAAGGAAATTTAAATACGACTAACTAAATATATAAATCTCAGAATCATTGAGAAGGTTCAAAACAAGGGCATCATTGCAAAATAGTTCTTAGACCAGGTATAAAAGGTGGAGAATGCATTCAGCACCACAGGAAACAAATCCCCATACCTGCTGATTTGAATGGGCCTCAAAACGTGGAGCCTTAGACCTCAATTTCTCTGCCTGATCATATAGGTTGTAGTGTAGGTAGTTACGAAGTAACAGATTAAGAAGTGTTTCCTGCATCAATAACAAGGTAATTACACTAAGACATAATTGAAAAATATAAAATTCATTCTATAATTTTTATTCATGTTATTTTTGTACACAGATATTATGATGTTATAGCATTTTACTCCAATAAATCAAGACTAAATATAGGAAGTTCTGATTATACAATATTTTGTACCGCTATACAAACCTATAATTTAGCTAATCAAATATTTTTATCCCAACACTCCCCTTCAAGTTGGTAAATGGATGTCATACATTCCCAACTTGTCCAATAATCTCCTAAAAATCTGACTTGTCACAGCTTTGGTAAGAATGTTTGTCAGCTGATCTTCAGATCGAATATTTGGCAATTCCAGAATATTTTTATCAAGTTTTTCCTTGATGAAAAATCTATCAACCTCCACATGCTTCATCCGATCATGTTGGACAGGGTTGTGAGCAATGTCTCTTGCAGCTTTATTATTACAATACAACTGAATGGGACGTGTATGTGCATACCCTAAATCCTGGAGAAGTAGTCAGAGTCACAAACCTTCACAAAGTCCAAGAACCATTCCTCTAAGTTCAGCTTCTGCACTGGATCTAGCTACAACTTTCTGCTTTTCCATGTGACAAGATTACCTCCTACAAATATAAAGTATTCAGAGGTTGATCTTCTATCATCAAGAGCACCTGCCCAATTTGCATCAGTATAAACCATCACATCCTTGTAGTTAGAATTCTTCTTGAACATAACTCCTTTTCCAGGAGCAACTTTTATGTACCTTAAAATCCGTATAACAACATTCATGTGTTTTTCACCTGGACTGTGCATGAACTGGCTAACCACACTAAGAGCATAAGCTAAATCTGGCCTAGTGTGTGAGAGATACATCAATCTCCCTACAAGTCTATGATATCTTCCCTTGTTACGAACTTCATCATAATTCTCCCCCTGAATTTCAGACTTGAGGGAAAAATATATCAAGGTTTCATGAAAAACTACATCTATAGTAGTAAAAATTTGTTTGGTTTGTGGATTGTAGCACCGATATCCTTTCTGGTGATCTGCATAACCAATAAACACACACTTTTTAGCTCTAAGAGATAACTTACTTCTCTGATGCTTGTATAAGTGAACATAAGCAACACAACCAAAAACTCTATGTGTTAGTTCAGCAATTTTAGGACTTACTACTGCATCTGTAAGTGATTGAAGAGGTGTTTTATACTCAAGAGACCTGGACGGTGTTCGGTTGATAGTGTATACTGCATATGTGAGAGTTTCATCCCAATATATTGCTGGCATGTGAGCTCCAATCAGTGCAGCTCGGACCACCTCCAATAGATTATGGTTCTTTCGTTCTGCCACCACATTCTGTTGTGGAGTATTTGGACAAGATCTCTAATGAACAATTCCTTTGGCTACTAAAAAATGTTTAAGTTCTGATTACATATATTCTCCTCCGTTGTCACTGCGCAGTAACTGAACTTGTGCTTTGTACTGGGTCTCAATCATTTTGCAGAATTTCTGAAATAGTCCTCCAACTTCACTTTTAGACTTAATCAAACATAACCAAGTCATTTGAATACAATCATTAATAAATGTTACAAACCACGTTGAGCCACCCAATGTTGTAACCTTAGATGAGCCCCATACATCAGAGTGAATGATCATAAAAGGAAGAAAACTTTTATTGAAATTAAAGGAAAATATGTTCTATGACTCTTTGCAAGTTCACAAACATCACAATAAAAAGTTGAAGTGTCTACTTGGTCAATTACATTTGGAAATAATTTTTTTATATAACCAAAAGATGCATGTCCTAGACGCTTATGCCATAACTAAATATCATCACATTTTCATACTTCTTGAGACTCTTTTGTTGCTAGCACTTGACCAAGTCTCTTTGAATCTTTTTCTGTTAGGTCCAGGTAATACAATCTTCCTCGCCTAATACCACAACCAATCGTCTTCCTCGTTTGAATGTCCTTAAAAACACAAGAGTCAGACCCAAAAATTACAACACATAAAAGAGTTTTGGTTATTTGTGAGACTGACAATAGGTTATATTTAAGAGAATGAACAACAAGGACAGAGACAGTTCATTCTCCAATAATAGTGGATTTACTACCATTGGCTGTGGATATACTTTTTTGTGAGGAAGGTTTAAGATTTTTAATCTGTCTAACATCAAAAGTCACATGATCAGAACATACAGAGTCAATTATCCATGCATTATTCAGAACGGTAGATGTGCTTATTAAAGTCTTATCATTGGAATCATCACTACCTGTGATTGTAGCAAGCATTATGCCTTTGTCGTCCTCTTTGTCAATGGCAGTTACAGCAGCAGCAGTTGGATTTCTTTTTGAATTTTTCTTCGATGCTCGACTGTGATCCCACCACTCGGGGTATCCCATGATTTCATAGCATCGTTCCTTGGTGTGTCCATCCTTATTACACTGAGTACACTTGTAGTTACTTTTTTTAAAATCTTTTGATTGTTTCGATTTGTTGTGATGATTTGTTGGCTGCTTCTTTGTCATCATAGTTGTGGAATCAGAAATCATATCTTCTGTTTTCAACGTTGTTCGCTAGACTGTCTCTCTCCGGATCAATGCATAGCATTCTTCTAAATCAGGTGTCACTTCTTTGCGCAAGATTTCTCCACGAACTTGCTCAAAATCATCATTCAGCCCAGTAAGGAATATATGCACCCTTAATCTTTCAATGGACTTCTGATATGACTTTACATCATCAGGGTCCTTTATGACTACTTTGTCACGATGGTCCAATTCCCCAAAAATCTCAATCAACTCCCCATAATATTCAGTTAAGGTTCTTTTATTTTGTTTTGCAGTGAATGCCCTTTGATTCAGGGCAAACACCTGTAGCTCATCACTTCCATCATTATAAAATGTCTTTGACAAAGCATTCCAAATATCGAGGACAGTGGGTAAACGAAAATACCTTTTCATGATTTCTGACTTCATGGACATCAATAGTCATCTTTTCACTTTTTGGTTTTCAGCATACCATTTTTCATATCCCTCATCGTTCTCTGTTGGAGGTTTCACCTTCTCACAGGTGTGGGACAATTTTTCCTCTCTGCAATGTGCATCTCCATTAGTTGTGACCATACGTCATAATTAGATTCATTTAGGGTGATACCTACGTTAAAGACACCTTAAGATTGAACAACTATTAGAATTAGTTTTTCTGTCATCTCTCCAGTTAAGATCTCCATGGATTTTGAAATAAAAAGAAAAAAATTATAAGCTCTGATACCAAATTGAAAAACATAGAATTCATTCTATAATTTTTATTCATATTATTTTTGTACACAGATACTATAATCTTATATTATTTTATTCCAACAAATCAAGACTAAATATAGGAAGTTCTGATTATACAATATTTTGCACCACTATACAAACCTATAATTTAGCTAATCAAATATCTTTATCCCAACAGGCATGACCCAGCTATGAAACGAAGTAGAAAACAAACCTTACCCAGCTCATCATGGTGCAGGGTAGCAATCCGGTGCAATGCAAGGAGGTTGCTGAAATAAAAATTTAGTTTGGAACAGGTTAATCTCAATCAGGTGTAAGTCCCCTTAAGCAGTATAAAAATCTGGAATGTTTATCTTTGAACTGACATAGGAACCTAACTTACCCTCGAATTTCCGCAAGATCTCCTGTAAGCTCATAGCTATACGAGTAATAAAAGTACAGTCTCGATCCAATAACATCAAAAGTCCTTCTATTCAGACTCTTCAGCCGAACAATGCTTGCTGAGGAACAAGCTTTGGCCTAAAATGAAAAATCAAAGCAACCTAAGCATATAATGTGCAGCCTAGTGGCACAGGAAGTAAAACTATAAACATACAGGAACAGGACTCAACCATATCATATCTTTTCTGGTCAATCAGAAAAAGTAGGACAAGGAAGTAACAGTAGATTTCTCGCTCAGGCAACAAGTGCTTCGCCACCGGATTTTGAATGGCAGATGTGGCACTGTCCACTTCTATCTCTCAATCACCCTCCTATATAGCCAGTTACAAAATCAAAGACCGTCATCTATTAAAAGATTGCAAGAAAACAGTTTAATATTTCATTCATATACATAAGTACAATGAACACACAAATAATTCATCAAAGCCACTAACGACTATTATATAAAAATAATGATGCACGTATCCTATATGTATCCAATACGTCGATACAATTATTTTAAACTTTTATAGGATATCATATGTTGTAAGATACATATTGAGAAATGTACAAAACTTCACAAAACATATTAAATATATAATCATAATTCTGCAAATTCAAACTAAAAACTTCTTAGGCATTACTAAAAACAAAAATGCATAAATCAATGTCCCTCATAAATCATTTTCTATTATTTACACATAGGAACAGTTATCAATCTCATTTCTTTCTTAAAACCGTTGATAAAAGAGAAAACTGTTTTCATTTCTGATTCATCGAGGGAAAGTGTTTCTGCGTTTCTATATTAACATAGTTGCACGTTTGTAATAGATTTTCATATTGGATACAACACAGTATCAACAGAGCGGAAAATTGGAGTAATTTCTCCATATAGAAAAACAAGGAAAAAGTTGTATTAGTTTCGAACATAAGCTAAAATTAGCTTATACACAAGCTAATTTATAATTTCTCTAAATTTTTATTTTTAAATGAGATTAACTTGTCCATTAGCTAAAATTAGCTTCTCATAACTAATTTCAGCTTGAGAACCTCGTTTTTTATTTACTCTTTATTTTATTTTATTTCTTAGGAGTTGTTGTGCATAAGTTATTATGGAAAAGTTCAAACATGTTCTAGAAAATGTTTAGAACAGAATAGTTAATTGAAGTGAAACACAAAATCAAAATTAATATACCTTGGGATTAGGAATATAAGAGGATAACTTAGCGTGAGGTTCAGAAGCGGGCACGAGAACGTACTCAAGAAAAGATGAGAGAAGCGGTGCCGTAAGTTTACGTCTCAATGCAAATGTAAGGCGCATGGCACGAGCAATTCGACGGACTTCTTTTGAGTACGAACCGGTTTCAATGATTGAAGCTATTTCCTTCAAATCTGCGTGTGAGATCAAAATTCAGCAAAATTAAATGGAATTAGGCTTCAGAGACATGAACCTAGAGAATTAGTGTGGTTTGAGAAAGAAACTTACGGTGCAATGTAGATGGAAGAGCAGAAGAAACCGAGTGTGAGGGCGTTGCCTGATCTTTCATTTCCATGTCTTCACTCATCTTCCTCAACCACACAATCTATCAGTCTCTTTCGATCTGAAATGACGTAAACCCTAACGCATGGGGAAGAAGAAGAACTCAAGAGCACGATACATAGATTCGTTAGAAGAAACAACTTCCGTTACAAACTATCACCTCTTCTTCCAAAGTTTAACACACACCAAACTTTTCTTCTCTTTTAAGCTTTTATTTTATAAAAGAAAATTAACACAAGTTTAATCTCAATGACAAAAAAGGGAATGTTTAAATCAATTCAAACCAGTGGCTACATCACCATATCAATTCTTTTTCTGTTTTATGTTATCCATTTTTTAAAATTCATTATGGTAATTAAAGTGATTACAAGTACATTTTTTATTAAGTCAATTAATTAAATAGTTAAATTTTATAGGAATATTTGTTATATAATATGAGAAGTGATTTATTTATTTTTATTGAATATTTTTATAAGTATTATAATATATATTTTGATAATAATGGTAACACATTTATAAATATTACAGTTTGTGTAATTTTGTAATATTATAAGAAACATTTTAGTATCATCTATTAACTTTTTTTATCATATTTTATAAAAAATGTTGTTACAAGAATATATACTATTTTAAATTTAACCAAATTATTTATTTTATTTATTTGAAAAAATTCACCATTAAATTGATTAAGGAGATCATTTACACTTGTATGAATTCTTAATACTCTCATAAGAGATAGAGATGACTAACAAGTACTCCCTCTATTAAGATTACATTAATTTATTTTTTACGAACTATACCCTTATTTTTAAAAGAAAAAAATATTCATTTTATGTGAATTTAAATAAAGTATAACTTTCATTTAATTATATTAGTATATTACATAAATATAGGGTAAATTGTCAATCAATAATATAATAAATAATTTTTTATTTTTATAACTTTTCATTAATAAATAATAAAATTATTTAATTCTAAAAAAATTATGATGAAAGATACAATGAGTATAATTTAAAAAATAGTTAAGTGAAATTACAAGGTTAAAAAGATTTTATATCAATGAAAAATATATTTTTCATAGTATGATATATTTGTAAAATAGTGTTTTTAAAGATAAATTTCAACTATATATATAAATATATTTTTTTTATGAGAAGTACAAATCTTCTCGTAATTTTTTTACAGTAAAAAAATTAAAATTATAAATTATAAAGAAAATTTTATTTATATTTAAATAAAAACAAATATTTCATACTTTCAATTTCTCTTTAAAAAGAGAAAAAAACTGCAATAAATTATTAAGAGTAATTTGATAGAAGATTATTATTAAAAAAACATTAAAATCTAAACAAATTAATGTTTTTATTCATTTACGTAAACAATTATTAATCCGTACATATCATATTAAAAAAAGTTGATATTTTTATTAATCTACGCACAAACAATAATCCGTACATATGAAATTTAGAAACATGGGAAACAACATTATGCATGCAGTAAATTTATGAGGTTTAATGGATAGGTAAGTTGTGGTCCTTCTCTATTAATGTTATTTCTTGTGGCAAATGTTGACCCTTGACTGATCACATGCATACTACTTTGGATGAGGTGCTTGGGTAAACACAAATAATAGATCGACATGGTCTAATAAATCTGTTTTTGAATACAATATAAAATTAGTAGATACTTGAGCACTAGGAACGCGTTCAACACACGGTTAACACGAGTACTGTCGTAAACAATAATACAAGTAACCAAACTTATGCAAATTGATATTGAATACCAAACCTAAGTCTTTTTAACGTTACTTTCCCTGGAAAAGTATCCAACTAAGAAAATCTTCGAGGTAAATCAAATCATACATTCGCCTGGAGCAGAATCCTTTTTAATGACAAAAACATAAAATATCAGACAAGGTAAAAACACGAATTTAAACAGATCTCTAGAAAATAAAAATTAAAGAATGAGATTCAGGGCCAAAACAGAAGTACAACTGTTCAAGCATCTGACCAAGGTCTAAAAAACAAAGGGTGCCTTATGTGGCAGCAGTCTCAAAACTAAGTCTACATAAATCTGTAAGAAAATGCCCTACAGTTCTTCGGGGCCCCATAGAAAAAGAAGGGGGAAATGAAGAAAATTGAAGAAATAAAAGAAAACATAAAATTAGACATGGCTTTGGCTTTGCTTCACTAGTCAAGTCAACTGCACTGCACTAATGCCGGCCGACTGGTTGCCTCAGGCAGCTGCTTGGATTGGCCCATTGGATCTAAAGCCACGACCCCTTCCACGATATCCCCCCCTGCCACGGCCTCGGCCTACAACAAAATTTAATCACAATTTATTAGATAAAATTAAAAGCAGCTTAATTAGTTTACTCAATACCCTCATGACTACTTATCACAACATCAACACAACTACACCATTTTACTTAATCATAACACAAATTATCAACAAAGGGTTTGATAAACGCAGGCAATAATAACGAGCTTTAACATTAACAGCATCGGGTGAAAAATCTCAAAATGGTGAGTTGGACGAGGCAATAGAAAATATCGCCTCCCCAATCCCCCCTACAAGCTGAATTTGAAACTCACCCAGTCTTTAAAGGGTGCGTGCTATACCCTTGAATGAACGTAAAACATAGAGGTTAAAGCAATATATAAACTGCTCCAGCGTTCAGAAAGTAATTGAAGACCCAGAAGACAACCAGTTTAATCACTTCCAAAATATCAAGAGATAAAAACTGTAAAAGCCAATAGCCAAATATTGACACACAGCGTACACATCCATCAACCACTTACACCCGTAGTTCAAAAACACAGAATATCAACTGCAAAATTTAATTGCCAAACAAAGATAGCCGATGCACACATAGAAGTAACACATTAATGAAAGAATGTACGAGGGAATTAAGGATAATGTACCACGGCCTTGAGGTACATCTTGGTTGTATCCTCCATCTTGCTGCACATCAAATTGGGGCCCATTGTATCCTCCCCTTCCACGACCACGAAAACCCCGTCCTCTTCCCCTACCCCTGCCCCTAATACTTCCCCTATTACGATCCCAACCTCCATCTTCATAATCAGCTGAAATAAAACCATTTCCTGAAATAAAATTAAGCAGCCATATCAGAAAAACTGTATAGCCATTCTTCCACTTTTTACTTAGAGTTCAGATGCCATATAAACAAGTTTTTTTTTTTTTTTAATTTTGAAAACGACGCTTTGATAACTCTTAAAACATGATGAACAGGATTGAAGACATATGTAAGTGGTTGCTTATAAAAAAGGATCAAGCATTTATCAATTTAAAATTCTAAACGTATAAACATATCTGAATAGTATGAGCCAAAACTTTCACAGATGTGATCATCCATAACATCTAAGGCAATAACTTCAAGTTAAAATTGCCACATATATAGAGAGACTATGTGGACTCATTTAAACAACTTCACTGATCACAGCCGATAATTTACCCTGGTCACAACAAGCACGCAGTTCATAGGAATAAACAATGCAAACATACCTCTGCCCCTTCCCCTGCCTCGACCACCGCGACCTCGAACACGGCCATTAGGTGAACCCTCTGCAGAACAGAAAAGTTAAAACAGATGTAAACTATTAAATGGTGGGGGAAGCAACTTACATGTACCTACCTCCTTCATAATCAAAATCTGTTGCAGCCTTCACCTGGTCAGCTGGTAATGGAGGCTGATACCTAAAGGGACACAGTGTATTTAGTTAAATTCACATGATAAAAATAATAATAATAATAATAATAATATAACTTGTTTTTCTAATGTCCTCATCACCTGATCCAGAGTTGTTGTTTTTTTTCCTAATATCTTTTACACTGAATAAGTGCTATAATCATCATATCATCTATGATTTTCATGTCATCAACAAAAATAGTACCATATGCATGCCTGTTATGAAAGGTGGAATAATTCTAGGGCCCATTTGTTTCAGCTTATTTTGAAGAATAAGAGATTTTTACCAGATGTTACGAAAAATAATAATAATTATAAAAATAAAAACTGAAAAGAAAATTAAAACAGTTTTGGAGCTTTACTCATTCTCAAAATACTTCTGAAATACTTTTCAATGTAAGATGCATCACAGAATCACCAAGCAAACAAGCACTTACTGAGGGAACTAAACATATTAAGATCACATTTACAAAGAAAACAATATCGCTGCATTGATAATAGCAAATAGAACCCATCATTGTTCTTCCTTCTTACAGTTTTCTTTTCTAGAACTTTAGCAATGTAAATTTAATAGCAATCTCATCTGCAAATGGGAAGGAAACGCATCATTTGGGTATTGTAACCAAACCTTCACTTTGGGAGAAATTATAATTTGTGCACTTTGCTTCAATATTCCTTCCAAATCAAACCAACATATCTGAATTTGCAGGATTCTCGATACTAATTAACAATAATAGGTGTCTAAATACACATAAGACAACTAGTTTTCATGCACTGAAAACACAGGTTTGAAATTATTTTCAAAGCCAAGATCTCTATGCCTACTGCAGGCTGAAACAAAACTGGGTAACTAACCACTCCTTGAGAGTCAAAGTATACTAATATTGTTGCATGACATCAGCAAGAAAAATAGAAAGCCAACTTACCCCACAGATGATGTATCAAGTTCCTTCTTTGAAAGGGTTATTGTTATCATTGACACATGCCTCGTCGTCTCCAAACTGCAAGATAGATAATGTTAAAATTAATACAAGGTGTAAGAACCAGTATCCACCTGATTGGAATGTTTAACATTTAAGCCATTAAGAATTAAAATAGTATTAGTCAGAAACTGCTCTTACGGAAGGAGGCCTTCCTCCAGGGGCTCCCAAGTATCAGTGATATCAGTGGATCCAATTGCTGTATTCTGGTGGAGGCCCACAATTCTCCTCTGCATTAACCCCAAGAAACATACATCAAATAAAGTCATCATTAATTAAAACAAAATCTCACGAAAGTAGTCAGCTCAGCTAATAACAGAAGCTAACAAACCTTGATCAACTCCACTATAGTTACGGTTTTGTTGATAGCTCTCCCCATTGCTTTGAAAACAATTTCATTAGAACCTTTCTCCTACAAAGACACATAGGCAAATAAAATGAGCTTACAAAATTAGAACAAGTAATTGATTTCTTAATTCAGAATTCAAGAAATAAAAGACTTCACACTCAAACTATCTGCTGCACCACTATCATTACTGAAACACAAGTGGAGATCCCAATCCAAACTACTTGTCAGTTATGTGAGAGATCTTTACGACTTAAGCATATTGTTGAGCTTTAATTTCACTCAATGCATGATTATCACATCCACTTTTAACAATACCCTCATAGAATGTTACAGTTAGAATGAGAGGGAACATAGACTACCCCTTGTTTGAGAATTTCGCAACTAAATGATCAGAAGCACTGAACCCCGCCCCCACTTCGAATGCAAACATTTAAAAACTGGGAGAGAAGAGGAAAGGAAGAAAAGAGTAGTCACAACAAATGCTTTAAATTACTTTACCAGTTATAAAACCTTTAAATTAATCATAGATATACTCATCACAATTTATTAGTCACCTTTTGATTTCTTTAATTTAAAATAAATAAAAAAGTACAAACAAGTAGGGTAAGGCCACCTACCACACACTACTGATCCGGTTTCAGTCCCTCTAAATCCGAAACATAAAATTCGTCATAAATAAATAAATAAAAGAAGAAGCCATTCATAGTTATGTTCATGTTCAGGATTTTATTGTAAAAGCATAATAATTATCACAACAGACGCATTAATACAAAGTCACTCACACTTTCCAAGTTCCGCAATCTGTCATAAAAGCTCGTTCTAAATTTAATTTAGGCTTTATAAAAATTTACCTGAAGCAAGCTCATGGCATAAGTAATGTAGTTCCTCATCCTCCCCTGACTAGTAATCCGGATCTCGTTTTCATCGATTGGAGTTTCAGCTCTGGGCTTCTCCACCTTCTGGTACCGATCCATCTACATCACCACCGAACAAATAACACATTACAAACCACAAGTGTCACCAACAACATCGTACAAGCATAAAACAAGAAAAACAAAACCAACGCAGAAGCGAAAAGAGTTGAGAAAAGAAAAATCAGTGTAGAGGTAAAAATGAGGAAGAATTGATCTGCCAGTTACCGCGATAGCTAAGGATAGAGTTTCCTTTGCGAACGAACACAAAGAACGAAGCCCTCTTCTACGGCTTGTATTTTCTATTGCGCCCTAACCTGGCTGCTGCAATGTGTTTCACTTTATATACCCCCTAACACCCGACACCCTCTCTCCCCAAACTACCCTAACCAACTCACTCCTTCTCTGACTCCACCCCAAAACCCCTACCCAAACCTCCACTTAATGGGCCTCCCTCGGCCCATTACAATAACAAACCATCTTTCTACCTTATCCATCATAATTTTTTTTCTTTTCAAAAAATTATCCCCTCCAATCCTAATCTTTCAAAAATACAAAAACATGCACACATTTTATTAATTGTTTAGTTTGAGGATTTACCTGCGTTTTGATCAATAATGAACTCAACTGCCAGTGTAATTCACTGTACAATTCCGAAATAAACTAAGATTAATACGATCAAATAATATCATTAACTTGATTTGCCTCTAATTAATTTTGAGATATTTAAATTTTAAAATTATAATTTAGACGGTAATTTGGATAATTTTTATCGGGTATAACAATTAGTACGTGTTAAAAAAATACGTAAATATATATTATATAACATGACATCATATCCATAATAAAAATATTTATTTTTTAATTATATTTAATTTTTTTTGTATTTATTGTATGTAATATTAAAATTAAGATATTACACTAAAATAAACTAATCAAAATAATAATAATAATAATTAATGCTTAGGATGTTCCTTAATTTCATCGTACCTAGTTTTCATTTCTTTTCATAAAAAATAAAGAAAAAAATATAAAATAAAATATATAAAAGATAAAAAATTATATTATGATTATCACATAGCTAAAGTTGAAAGAATAAAATAAAAAATTCCATATATTAATTGCACAAAAATATAAATTATATATAAAAAAATTTTGAAATAAAATATAATAATATATGTTAATAAATTAATTTTATTTATTCACAATTCTTTTAATAACTAGTCATTTATTTATTTTTTAATTTATTATTTTTTTAAATATATTTAGGTGTTAATTGAAACCTGAAAAAAATAGTATAATAACCGAAGTTCAAACCCATTATATCCCAAACATGTAATCATTTATTTAACAGATTTCTTATATATTTTTCACAAACTTTAATTAGAAGAAATATACTTAAACAATAAAATTAAAAATAAATGGAGAAGATCATATAAGTTAAGAAATAAGTTTAATGTTTAAAGGACATAAAACTTTAAATATAAAATTTTAGATCTAATATTTCAAAAAAATAAAATAGTTCAAAGAATGAAGAGATGAAAATAATTTTAAAAGTAAAAAAAAAAAAGCATCAAAGAAAGTAAAGATGATAAAAAAATGGTAAAAAATTAAGTTATGATTACTCATTGTTTTATCTTATATTATTAGGTTCGTGACATTTTTATATAGTTATTATGATTTAAAATATAACACATGATAAAAAAAATGATTTTTTATGACGAGAGAATTACCTTTGTTATAAGTAAAAGTGAAGGGAGAGGACAAGATTATGACTTAAAAAAAAAATTTAAGATTTTATTAAAAAATATATTATAGTCCATAATATATATATATATATATATATATATATATATATATATATATATAGTTTTATAAGATTAATTTTCTGATATCTTAGATAACTTATAATAATTGTGTGTTCCTTCTTTTATATCTTGGTAACCTCTTCGTTGTATTATTATAACTTCTTTGTTTGAGTACCTTTATCATTAGTATAACATATATTATTTATCTATAATATTTCTCATAACACTTGCAAAATCACTAAATATATGGATGATTTTTTTTTTTAAGATTAAGAGTTTCTCTTTTCTCTAAAACTTTTCATTCATCTTTTTTACTTTTCACTATAAGTTAATAATAATGCAAATTGTTTCACTCTAAGTCATTCATCTAATATTAAATGTTTGTCATAATCTTTACTTCTAATAATGCAAACTGTCATTCATTTTTCTTTTTAATTCAATTTTTTTCTTATATTTATTTCTGTTTTACCTTCTATTACTTTCTTCAAAATATTTTTTTTTCTACTCATTTTTAATGCTCTAATAACTTTAACTTTGATTTTTTTTTTTACAAAAGTTCACAGCCTTTCCAAAATTGAAAAGGAGTGCAAAATATTCCTCTCCCCTAAGGTATATGCGTCCTTATGTGTGGTTTCTAAGTTCTTCTTTTTTTTTTTTAAGAACTAATTCTATTGCAAAATTTATAAAATAAAACTCATTCCCTTTCTTGATAAATAGGGTTAAAAAAATTACTGGAATAATTGATTTTGTTTAGTTAAGCTACTTGATTTATACTAATATATCTCGATGTTTCTTATTGTATTTGATTTTGTTTACTCATAATTTATGGTAGACTAATTATCACCCTTAATATATGTTTAGATTACTAGATAAATTTGAGAGTGAAAATAAGTAGATTTGAAGGGAAAGAGAGATAAAATTGGGATTATTTGAATTAAAGAAAAATTGAACAGAAATAAGAGAAAATGAGACGAAAGTTTGAGAATGATATAATTGATTTGTCATAGTAAAAAATTAAAATTTAATTGATAATATTTTAATATTATAATTTTACCTTTGTCTTAAATAAATATTTTATAATAAAACATAATTAATATAAATAATGTTAAAATTAGTTGTGATATATTATTTAAAATATAAAAATTTAAATATATGAATTTATAATAAAATAAAATATAATTATTAGAAATTAATTTAGAATAAATTTGACATAATTTTTTTAAATGACATAAAAGTGTGACTTAAATTAATAAAATTATTTTAATTAATTATAAAGTTAATGTAAAATCTAAGTAAATGATTAATAATAAAATTTGATAAAATAAATTGCATATTAAATTCTAAAATTATAGGAGAAAATGCATAATAATATTAACACGTAGATGAGTATCATTTATTGCTCATAAACAATCCTAAAGGGCAAAAAATATGAGTATAAACAACATTAAATATGATTATGTTACCTTAAAGTATGGACAAAATCGATTGTTGTTTAGAACATGAAGTTAGACTTCAGTTTCAGATGGTTATATTAAGTATTCAGTCTTCAACATCAATATTGCATTCAACACATTATGAAAATATCCAGAAATAATTTCTTCAAAAATGGAAAAAGAATGACACACTTCTATTCTCCACCTTATGTCCAATAATGTTAAGAAATTTAACTACTTATTATTGAACGGTTGATCGAAATGCATATTTTACTAACTCAGTTGTCCTTAATCGTTCGCATAACGTTATGAATGTTTTAGGTCTCATCCGAATAATGTCACACAATTGTTCTTTGTGCACTTAGTATAATAATAACTCTTATCAACAACGCTTTTTTTTTAGAAAACAAACTCTGAAATATTTAGAGTGGAGAGACATAACACATTTGGTACGAAGTTTTATTTGTTGATATAAGTATTGAATTAAATCAAAATCTCCACAAAAAAATATCGTTATCAATATCTTTATTAGCAAAAAACTCTAATCAATCATTCTCATATTTCATTATACTATTAAATTTACAACACTTAATATAATATTTTATAATTTTAATTAAAATGATATAATATTAAATTAATGCTAAATTGATACATATTTATAATAAATTATAGGTTCATTAATTTTTAATATTATATATAAACCTAATCCAATTTTATATTTTATATTTACATAAATACAATAATTTTTAAATTAAATTTTATAGTTTATATTTTATATTTAATATGTAACTAAATATAATAATTTCTAACCCTAATTTAATTTTATATTTTATATTAACCTAAATAAAATAATTTTATGCCTAGTCTAACTCACGTAAAAAAACCTACACTAATATCACCTAGATTGTTTTAAACATACTTTAACATAAAACATATTCTAATTTTAATACAAATTTTTCTAATCTTAATACAATTTTTTTCTTATTTGCCTACAATTATTTTAACACACATATATTAAATCATAATCATACAAATTAATAACAATTATTATAAAATCAAATTGTAATCATAAAAATTAGAACATAATTAACTCAAGCAACTTACCCATTGAAATCAACCGCACAACACTTGGAACAATTCACTAACACCAATACTACACCACACATAACAACTTACCAACACCACCACCTAATTGACCACATCATGCGCAACAACTCCCCACAACACTAACATCATCCACCACCAGTAGCACCACAAACAACGTCACTAAAACCACGTGAATCAACTCATGGCAACGTCAACATCATCCACCACCACCATCATTAACATCACCTAACTCACTAGCAATGTCACCAACATGCATTCCACTCAGGATAGCACCGCCCACACCAACAACAACACCACTGAACTAGCCACTCTCTATGCCATGAACACCACACCGAAACTTACAACAACACCACTAACACTAGTATCACCCACATTTCACCTCAACGACAACACCACGGAGCAGAGCACTAGAACGACCACAACACCATCACCACATATTGATGACCACAAAATGGAGGAGAATCACGTAGAACCTACAATACAACGCAACACACATGAATCATTTGTTCCAACAAATCACATGCACACGTGAGAATTGATTCTCCTCCATGTATTGGTTATCCATGCATTCAAAGGAAGCAAGAGTTGATTCTCCAAAAATTCAAACGAGCAAAAATTAATTCTCTCTTCCACAATCAATTCTCTCCGCCTTTGTCAGTTAGTCTCTCGGCCACTCTTCATGTCAACACACATCTAAGGATGACAAAATGGGTTA